CCATAATGACCTGTTTTCTCTTTCCTTTCCTCTTTGTTAGGTCAGAGCATACTCATTCTAACACCATTTTTCATGCTTATATCATGCTCACACACTCAGTCATGTCTGACTCTTTGCCACTCCATGGATGGCCCCTCTGTCCATAGGGTTCTCCAGGCAAGAATACTGAGTGGAGAGCCATTTCCTCCCCCAGGAGATCTTCCCATTCTTAGATTATCCTAAATAGCTGCCACTGCTCTAAATCTTACCAACTTCTGGGTATGCCATCCATTGGCAGATCACCATGATAAATATATATGAACAGTCTAGTCTCACCAAATGACACTATGAAGAATTAAAGCCAGTGGCTCTTCCATTATCATCTACGGGACAAATGATCTTAAACAAACCGACCTGTGACTTTCCTAGTGTCCCTCTCTCCCAGTCCTGAGGGGGACTATATCCTTAACCTGTGGAGTTTAGCCCAACACTTGATAGTTGGAATGAGAATTTATAAATAAAACTGCAATAAATTTTCATGGACAAATCCAACAAGCCACCCACAGAATGCAGAACAATGCTAACCTATACTTGAATTTGAAAAATAATTACAGGAAACAATATTGTATTTTTTTAAGAAAATATTTAATTAGTAGTTTTCTAGAAGGAAAGATTTTTATCTAGTACAAAAATTTGTAGTCAGAGTACCGAGAAAACATGGGCAATACAAGTTGTTTTTCAAGTTAAAACATGATTAGTAAGCATCTCGGAGAAGGCAATGGCAACCCACTCCAGTACTCTTGCCTGGAAAATCCCATGGATGGAGGAGCCTGGTAGGCTGCAGTCCATGAGGTCTTGAAGAGTCAGACCCGACTGAGTGGCTTCACTTTCACTTCTCACTTTCATGCACTGGAGAAGGAAATGGCAACCCACTCCAGTGTTCTTGCCTGGAGAATCCCAGGGGCAGGGGGGCCTGGTGGGCTGCCGTCTATGGGGTCACACAGAATTGGACACAACTGAAGCGACGCAGCAGCAGCAACAGTAAGCATCTATTGGGTGCTCATTTCTGAGAGGAAGTATGAGAAATGACCTGAAACAGCCAATAATCTGGTTCAGGAGACAAGAAAATGGCAAGATAATAAACAACCAATGATTTAAATAGATTAAGACAGTGATAAGAACTATTCCAAGTCGAGATATCTTTCACTTTCAAATATGATGGAGGACTTCCCTGGTAACACAGTGGATGGGAATCTGCCTGCCAGTGCAGGGGACACAGGTTTGATCCCTGGTCCAAGAAGATTCCAGTTCAGTCGCTCAGCCGTGTCCAACTTTATGACCCCATGGACTGCAGCACGCCCGGCCTCCCTGTCCATTACCAACCCCCAGAGTTTACTCAAACTCATATCCATTGAGTCGGTGATGCCATCCAACCATCTCATCCTCCCCTTCTCCTCCCGCCTTCAATCTTTCCCAGCATCAGGATCAAATGATGTTCAGGTTCAAATGAGTCAGTTCTTCACTCAGGTAGCCAAAGTATTGTAGTTTCAGCTTCAACATCAGTCCTTCCAATGAATATTCAGGACTGATTTCCTTTAGGATGGACTGGTGGATCTCCTTGCTGTCCAAGGGACTCTCAAGCGTCTTCTCCAGCACCACAGTTCAAAAGCATCAATTCTTCGGCACTAAGCTTTCTTTACAGTCCAACTCTCACGTCCATACATGACTACTGGAAAAACCATAGCCTTGACTAAACAGACCTTTGTTGGCAAAGTAATGTCTCTGCTTTTCAATATGCTGTCTAGGTTGGTCATAACTTTTCTTCCAAGGAGTAAGCGTCTTTTAATTTCATGGCTGCAGTCACCATCTGCAGTGATTTTGGAGCCCCCCAAAATAAAGTCTGTCACTGTTTCCCCATCTATTTGCCATGAAGTGATGAGACCAGATGCCATGATCTTAGCTTTCTGAATGTTGAGCTTTAAGCCAACTTTTTCACTGTCCTCTTTCACTTTCATCAAGAGGCTCTTTAGTTCTTCTTCACTTTCTGCCATAAGGGTGGTATCATCTGCATATCTGAGGTTATTGATATTTTTCCCGGCAATCTTGATTCCAGCTTGTGCTTCCTCCAGCCCAGAGTTTCTCATGATGTACTCTGCATATAAGTTAAATAAGCAGGGTGACAATATACATGTCAAATATACTATTTGGAACCAGTCTGTTGTTCCATGTCCAGTTCTAACTGTTGCTTCCTGACCTGCATACAGATTTCTCAAGAGGCAGGTCAGGTGGCCTGGTATTCCCATCTCTTTTCAGAATTTTCCAGTTTGTTGTGATCCACATAGTCAAAGGCTTTGGCATAGACAATAAAGCAGAAATAGTTTTTCTGGAACTCTTGCTTTTTCGATGATTGAAACAGGAGATGGATGACAAGAGTGAACATCAGCATTTTAGGAATCAGTGAACTAAAATGGACTGGAATGGGTGAATTTAACTGAGATGACCATTATATCTACTACTGTGGGCAAGAATTTCTTAGAAGAAATGAAGTAGCCATCATAGTCAACAAAAGAGTCTGAAATACAGTACTTGGATGCATTCTCAAAAATGACAGGATGATCTCTGTTTGTTTCCAAGGCAAACTATTCAGTATCATGGTAATCCAAGTCTATGCCCCAACCAGTAATGCTGAAGAAGCTGAAGTTGAATGATTCTATGAAGACCTACAAGACCTTCTAGAACTAATACCCAAAAAAGATGTCCTTTTCATTATACACCCAAAAAGGATGTTCTTTTCATTATAGGGGACTGGAATGAGAAGATTCCTCATGCCAACTAAGCCCGTGCACCACAACTACTAAGCCCATGCTCTAGAGCCAACAACTACTGAGCCCAAGCGCTGCAACTACTGAAGCGTGCGTGCCCTGGAGCCCTCATAGCGCAGCTACTGAGCCTTCATGCTGCAACCACTGAAGCCTGCGTGCCCTGGAGCCCTCACAGCGCAGCTACCGAGCCTTCATGCTGCAACCACTGAAGCCTGCGTGCCCTGGAGCCCTCACAGCGCAGCTACCGAGCCTTCATGCTGCAACCACTGAAGCCTGCGTGCCCTGGAGCCCTCACAGCGCAGCTACCGAGCCTTCATGCTGCAACCACTGAAGCCTGCGTGCCCTGGAGCCCTCACAGCGCAGCTACCGAGCCTTCATGCTGCAACCACTGAAGCCTGCGTGCCCTGGAGCCCTCACAGCGCAGCTACCGAGCCTTCATGCTGCAACCACTGAAGCCTGCGTGCCCTGGAGCCCTCATAGCGCAGCTACCGAGCCTTCATGCTGCAACCACTGAAGCCTGCGTGCCCTGGAGCCCTCATAGCGCAGCTACCGAGCCTTCATGCTGCAACCACTGAAGCCTGCGTGCCCTGGAGCCCTCACAGCGCAGCTACCGAGCCTTCATGCTGCAACCACTGAAGCCCATACCCCTAGACCCTATGCTCCACAATAAGAAGCCACCACAGTGTGAAGCCTGTGCATCGCAACTGGAGAGTAGCCCCCACTCTCTAGAACTAGAGAAAGCCTGTGTGCAGCAATGAAGATCCAGAACAATCAGAAATCAGTAATTAAAAATAATACTTATGGAAAAACAGATGCTTTTACAATTGGAAATGAGTAAGAGAATTCCCATTGGTATTCAAGAGAATTCTTCGCTGATGAAGGGACATTTGACTAGGGTTCTGACTGATCACCAGGCTTTAGACAGTGGAGAGGGCATTCCAGGCTGGTGGAACAGCTTAGGCAGAACAGCCCAGGCTGCGAAGTGTGGACACATGTTTGAGGGGTGGCAAGCAAGCTACTTTGTCTGAAATGGAGCTTCTTGTCAGGAACAGCCGGAGGTTAGGGCAGACTGAAGAGGGCATTGAATGTCAAACTGAGAGGTGAGCCTTTATCCTATAGGCAAAACAGGCTTTGGGGGCAGAACGGGGAGGCAGGATAGATGCCCACTGATGAGATTGATTAACATGGCCAGAGATACACAAGAGAAAGGAACTATGTTAGGCAAAAACCAGCTACAAAGTTGCAGGCATCCAGGCATATAAAGTGACCTGAATGAGGGTTAGAGAAGGACACTGGGGGGGTGGGGGGAGGGTATATATATATGGGGCTTCCCTTGTGGCTCAGTTGGTAAAGAATCCGCCTGCAGTGCAGGAGACCTGGGTTCAATCCCTGGGTTGGGAACATCCCCTGAAGAAGGGAAAGGCTTACCCACTCCAGTATTCTGGCCTGGAGAATTCCATGAACTATATAGTCCATGGGGTCACAAAGAGTCGGACACGACTGAGCGACTTTCACTTCACTTTGCCCTTTGAAAGAAAACGTAAGCTGTTACTAATGTAAAATATGTATGAGTTATCTGGAGTTGTTTTGGGGATTTTTGTTTGCTTTTGAAACAATATGTAACTGAAGGCTATGATATACACATTACACTGATGAGGCTTCTCCCAAGTATACATTCTCCCGTGTACGGAGACTTCCCTGGTGGTCCAGTGGTTAAGACTTCACCTTCCAAAGCAGGGGGTGTGGGTTCGATCCCTGGTCAGGGAGTTAAGATGCCACATGCCTCATGGCCAGAAAACCAAAACATAAAACAGAAACAATAGTGTAACAAATTCAATAAAGACTCTAAAAATGGTTCATATCCAAAAAAAAAATCTTAAAAATAATAAACTGTCTGATGTTGAATGTGTGACCCACTAACTAAAGCCTTTCCAAATCCATTATATTCACATAGTTTCTTACTGGTTTGAATTCTCTTGTGTTTGATAAGGGAGGCAGTATGATGAAAGCCCACCTCCTCTTAATAGAGCTTCGGTTTGGTGTGTCCTGTCTGATGTTGAGCAAAATGTGTCCTCTGACCAAAGGTCTTCCCACATTCGCTGCACTCCTAGGATCTCTTTCTAATATATAATTCAGTATATCCTCTGAGGTTTAGTGGTGTATGTTTTCCAGCTGAAAGCCTTCCTGCATTGGCTGAATTCATAGGTTTTTTTCCCCAGCATGACTTTTCTGATGTTTAATAAGGGAGGCAGTGTGAGCAAAGGCTCTTCCACACTCATTACATTTGTAGGGTTTCTCTCCAGTATGGTGTCTATAATGCTGAGTGAGAGATGAACTCTGGCTGAAGGCTCTCCCATACCTATTACATTTGTAGGGTTTCTCTCCTGTATGAAATCTGTAGTGTACAATGAGAGAGGAACTCTGGCTGAAGGTTCTCCCACATTCTTTGCATTCATAGGGCTTTTCTCCAGTGTGAGTTCTCTGATGTTTAATAAGGGATGAAGTATGGCCAAAGGCCCTTCCACATTCATTACATTTGTAGGGTTTCTCTCCTGTATGAAATCTGTAATGTAGAACAAGAGAGGAACTCTGGCTGAAGGCTCTCCCACATTCACTGCATTCATAGGGCTTTTCTCCAGTGTGAGTTCTCTGATGTTTAATAAGGGATGAAATATGACCAAAGGCTCTTCCACATTCACTGCACTCATACGGCTTTTCTCCAGTGTGACATCTCTGATGGCGCCGAAGTTCTGACTGGAAATGGAACAACTTCCCACATTCACTGCATTTGCAAGATTTCTTCCCTGGTTGAGTTCTCCGAGAGTTACTTCTCCCTGAAGTCTGTCTGAATGCTGTATCACATTTATAGTATCCTTCTCCTGTGGGAACACAGTGTTGGTTAATAGGGACTGATCTTAAACCTGAACCAGTCCCAAATTCACTCCATTCATGACCTCTCTTAAGGGTGGGAGGAGATTTGTGAGTGAGTGACATTTCTTTCAGATATCTCTCCTGTTTTTTTGGATGCATCTCTACCTGGTCATCCCAACCACAGGTTGCTTTCAGTTTGGAGGACCTGAGTTCATCTCTAATGTGTTTCTCCACTGATGCTCTCTGCAATAATTCTTCTTTGGAAAGTTCTTGACTTAGCATAGCTTCCTTGGCTTGAGGCCTTCTCTCCCAGTCTGGAAAAAAACAAAAAAGACAGGCTGGTATTACCTGTTCTATGTGCCAAGAGGAAGTAAAGTCCTATGATAGATGTAAGATAATTAACCTTTAAAATAATACCTAAAAGAGGTGTACAGTCTCTTCCAAGAATGGTGTATGTCTGAAGAACATTTTGGAAGTGCCAAGAATAAGATAAGCAGGTAACTGGAGATTAGAAAAACCTGAGAGAACAGCATTGGGACTCCAGTACACAAAGTAAGGGCTTCCCTGGTGGCTCAGTGGTAAAGAATCAGCCTGAAGTGAAGGAGATGCAGGTTCAATCCCTGGGCAGGAAGGTCCTCTGGAGAAGGAAATGGCAACTCACTCCAGTATTCTTGCCTGGGAAATCCCATGGACAGAGAGGAGCCTTGAGGGCTATAGTCCATGGGGTTGCAGTCGGACATGACTTAGCTACTGAACAACAGTAACACAAGGTAAATCCAAAGACTGTAAAGATGAGAGGAGGATAGGAAGATGCCCTCCACAAAATCTTCCCTCAACACCTCAGTCCACACCACACATTATTATGTATTATGTACATATTATAATATACATACTGTATACATTTAACATCTATTATTGCATGTAACTGTGACAGCAGAATAATTATCCCCCAAAGATGTCCAAGTCCATCTGAACATATTTATATATTCAAATCCCAGGAACACATAAACATGTTATTTTACATGGCAGAAGAGACTTTGCAGATATGATTAAGGGCACAGACCCTGAGGCTGGGAGATTATCATGAGTCATTTAGGTGGACCCAGTCTAATCACATGAGTTCTCAAAATCAGAGACCAGTTCCTGGCTGAGTCAGAGCGATGTGGTGTGAGAAAGATTTGACCCATCACTTCTGGCTCTGAAGATGGAGGAAGGGCCCCGTGGGCCAAGGAATGTAGCAGTCTTTAGAAGCTGGGAATGCTCCTCAGTTTATAGCCAGCAAGAAAAGAAGAAACTCAGTCTGATCCTTGTCACGAATTGGTTCTGCCAACAACAGAGATGAACAGGAAATAGACTGTCCCCTAGACACTCCAGAAAGGAACTCAGCCATGCTGATATCTTGGTTTCAACAGTGTGAGACCAATACTTGATTCTGAGTTGTGAACTATGAGATAATAAACTTGTGTTGATTAAAGCCACTAAGTTTGTGACAATTTGTTTCAGCAACAATAGAAAGCTAATGTGATAATAGTGACCCTTCCGAAGAGAGAAATGACTGTCAATGCCTAAGCAGGCCTCCCACAGGCCAGATTTTGAGCCAGTAGGTCTTGGGATCCTGAGGGTCTGAATGTTTAACAAGCTCCCGTAGAGATTCTGAAACACACCGTATTTGTAGAACACTATAAACAGACAGATACTGATGATGAGACTAGATCCAGATGTCAGACCCTTGCCCTCATTCTGGAAGGAAACACGATCAAGAGAGTACCAATACAGAGATCAGCATCTTCCCTGTCTCTCCTCTTCTGGACAGTCTTGAGGCCCAGCCTGCACTCTCAGGATTTGAGCCCTACTTTGGGGAGCTTCAGCTCTGGCCTGAGGCTGATTCTGTTTCAGAGATGGACACGGACACAGACTGTCACCTCCTGCAGTATGCTTGGGCTGCACATGGCAGGCAGGAGAGCTTTGTGTCCAGAATTTTGCCCCAAGGGGTGGAGCCTACCACCCCAAGGTCTCAAGTCACCTAGGAATTCAAAGAGATGCCATCAAGAGCTGGTAAGAAGTGGTCTTTGTTCTTAGAACCACCTCTGTTGTAGTTACGACTCAACCAAGCCTGAAGTGTCCTCACCTTGGTCTTCCTGATGTCATCTGTCAGGATGTCATTGCCAGTAGCCCTTTAATTTCTGGGCTACTTAACTGTTCTGTTTGATCTGCTGCTAACTCTGTTATCCCTGCTGATATAGGACTTAACAACTATTGGTCCTTAGATTCCATCTAACACTGATCGTGTGACATCTAGTGATGACGCATAGTCCCAAGGACCCTGAAGGGTGGGTAGAGATGGGCAGATGTTTATTTCTTATCCACATTACTTGCAAGAAATAAACAAAGGACAGATAAACACTAGAGAAGAAAATGAACATCTTTTCATACTAGAAAACATTATGGAAGCCTACAAGTATTCAAAATACTGGAGTGGAGGGCTCTTGGCAAGTGACTTCACCTTCTCAAAGAAAAGGGCTCCTGGTAAGTGACCGCACCTTCTCAAAGAAGAGGCCCCTGACCAAGGGTTTAAAGGAACTTTCCAGTCACAGTTGGCCCTTATGATGTGTACTGTTGTTTTGGCCTGACTCTCACCTGAGTGAACACCTGTTGAGATTTCTCTCTCTAAAATACAGGGCTCTTCCCCTTCCTCCAACTGGCAGATCATATATGGTTTGGACACTGGAAACCCTGGTGGTAGAGAAGGAAAAGAATCATGGTATGGGTATAGAAGAGGCCAAGGCTTGTGGACAGCCTGCAACTAAGCATGGTGAAGTCACGAAGCTTCTTACTCTGATCTCGCATACAGCAGGACTTTCCTAGGAACAAGGCGAAATACTGAATCTCCTGGCCCCCAAGAGAAAATAAATGTCTAATTCTGGAATTTCAGGGCAAAAGTCAGCCAACAGGCCCAGACACCCTAGCTTTTAACACCAAGGAACTAAAGATGGCCTGATGGTCAGGCTCTGGGCCTTGGAGGAGCTGAGCTTACCCAGGGAGGCCAGGTTCTTGAAATTCTCCAGCATCACCTCCCGGTACAGGTCCTTCTGAGCAGGGTCCAACTGACCCCACTCCCACCAGGTGAATTCCACAGCCACATCCTCAAATGTCAACAGGTCCTGAAACACAGAAGACAATCTTGCACACTCGGGGAGCACACTCATGGCCCTGGGAGAAGAGGAGACAGGTGTCTGAATAGAACCTTAGGGTGTACAAGAAGGGATTCCAAGAGTTCCTGGCTATCGCAATGTCAGGTTTTATCATCTGAAAAATATTTTAAGCTGCTCCAGGGACTATGTCATCCTTACTGCTCGATATCCCATGCAGTACCCACAGATCTCAACATCAAACTGCTTAGAAATATAATCAGGGCCTCAGGAGAATCAAACCTTTAGAGACACTCCACTTACGTGACAGAAATATATACAATCCATTTCCTCAGTTTTCAGAATGGATTATAATTTAGTGACATTTAAATAGAATCGATTAAAAATAACAAACTGATAAACTGCATTCTGAGCATATCATAGTGTCAATAGTCTTCTAATTAAGTATTTTTGAAACTTGTGGCCTAGGATTTCGATGATAATTCTTACTAAGGCCAAATAAAATCATTTGGGGTTTAGAACAATGTATCCCCTAACAGCTGCCAGCACACAGTTCAGTGAAAGGATGTCAAGTGGCCTTACAGTGAATTAGTAAGTCTTTTGTGAGTCTGATTAATATAAATTATCTCCCCAAAAAGCCTAATCATTTTTCAGTTCCTAAATGTGTGAAGTTGAGAGTGAGAACCCCAGATCTCAGGGCCTCACAAGGTACAACCATTCTGTGGGTCCCAAAAAGAACTATCCTGTCAGCCTCTATAACGACAATACTCGACTTACATTGTACAATAAGCCATAAACTATGAACTAAAAAGCAAATAAGCGAAGGTAGTATAAACTCCTTTTACTTTCCCCTCAAAATGTTTAAAAGTCAAATCCCATTTAGATACTGATTCCACAGAATAAGCCAAACTAATAATTTTATATTAAAGGCAGTCTAAAATAATCAAATGTGGAAAACTCACTACCTTAGGGGCCCAAATGATAGATTGTACTATTTGTGCAAAATATTCATTGGCCCTCCCTACAGAATTGATTTTCCTACCCCACTGACTCAGGTGTAGTCAAGTCATTCACTTTCACATTTGGAATGTGAAGCAAGTGACATGAGCTACTTATGAGCAAAAGCTTTCACAGTCAGCTTCTACAATTGCTGCTCTGAGAATGGCAAATGATCCCAGAGTGAAGATGTGGGGCAAAACCATAGCTTGCATGTAACATGGACAAGAAACAAACCGTTGCTGTAAGCCTCTCAGGATTTGCTGTTGTTATCACAGCATAACTAGCCTCAACTGACTCATTAAAAAAGCTGGTACTCCAGGTGAAGTTCTGCCATAATAAAATAGCCCAAAATATGTGATAGTGGCTTCAGGACCGGGCAGTAGAAAACATTGGCAAAACAACAACCCATGTAATTTAGTGGTGAACTGTGTGGTAACACTTGATGCAATAACTTGAAAGAGGAACAATGCAAGATGAGCTGGTGCTGTGATGAGACGAAGAAAACATCAATAGTATGAGCTGGTTGTCACTGGCTACATTTGACAAAAGTATGACACACACACACACAAATTAGTCTAAGAGTTTGCTGATTTGCAAGATAAAAATGTAAGGCAAAGAGAAAGTGTCCAGAGGGACTTCCCTGGCTGTCCAGTAGTTAAGACTCTGGGCTTCCAATTCAGGGGAAGTGGGTTCAATCCCTGGTTGAGGAACTAAGATCCCACATGCCACATGGCATAGCCAAAAAAAAAAAAAAAAATTTTTTTTTTTTTTAATGTTTTAAAAGAAGAAGAAGAAAGTGTCCCAGAAATACCAGGACTTGCAAGGTTGGAGATTTAATGAATTCTCATTTCCAACTGGTCAAAGACAAAATACATACAGCTTTTGCATAACAAAAGATGATTAAAACCCAGCCTAATGGCAAGGACTGAGTCATGAGTGTGATTGTCAGACCTTTTGTTTAAGCCTCTTAATAATTTCAGATGGCTCCCAGTAAATCCTCTCAGTGGGACCAAATTTGTCAGAGTGACTAAAAGTAAGGTTTTGCCAGAAGCTCCACAATTAAGTCTAAAGAGAGGGGCATATTCCAATAACAACTGTGGGGAAAGCTAATATACACGGAGCCAATGGAAGCAAATGCACAAAAAACTGGTCAGGTTTTGAAGAGTCGCACTTAAGGTGCAAGACTTGAGACAATCTTTGGGCCATCAAACTACTCAGGATAAAAAAGCTGCTGAGCCCTCAAAAAAAAGTTTGTTCTCCAGTATCATCTTCATATGCGACCAAGGGAGATGCTGCAAAATGAAGGCACTTCTGGAGGGCAGAGCCAAGAGCCAAGAACACTGGACTGGGAGCTGCACCCAGACAGCAGAACCAGGACACATGCAAGACCCCCCAGTCCCAAGGCAGGGTCTTCAGTTCGTCCCCACACTAATCCAGGAAGACAACTCGTGCACAGGGGCCCAGTCTCCCTGGGCAGAGGGCCCTGGGGCAAGGAGGCCAGCAACAGCCTTGATGGGCTCAGCCTCCTGCAGAGCAGGAACTGGGGCCAGGTCCCTCTGGCAAACGAGGAGGCTCCAGAGAAAAGGAGGCAGAAGTCTCCATAGTTCAGGCATTTGAGAGAAACTTAGAGAACCCCAACTCACCTGAGGTCTGGCTTTCAGGAATAAGCTGGCTGTTCCCTTTTCTCCCAGGCGTCTCTCCGGAGGAAGAGCAGGCTCCCGAGAAGGGAGAACTAGGAAGGTAAAAGGAGCCATGAGGAAGGCTAGCCCTCATGAGATTTACAGCCCCCAGACTCCCCAGGCCAGCGTGTCGCCCCCATGGTTTCCGGCGATAAGGCTGGACCTAAGGCAGCTGGGGGACAGGCCACAGGCTGCCTGTGCTCACTGGTGCGTAAAGCCCCCACTTGTCCACAGGCCACAACAAGCTGCAGGTTGCCAGAGGGGGACCACAGTCTGGCCACTCCTTTGTGGTCAATGGGCCTCCAATATGCAGGTCCTATATTAGGCCTTTTGAAAATACAAACATGGAGAAGAACTTCAAGGAACTTTAAATGTCACCTGAGGGAATAAGACAGGCTAACAAGACAAAATAAGGCCTAGGACAAGACCACATAAAGATATGGCACTTTGCGGAAGTCACACCTCTACCCTTCTCCTTGGGAAGTAGTGCAGAGGCCAGGGCTTCCTGAGAGCTATCCTGAGTGTTTTAAAGCGTCATTAGGTCTCTGAAGCGTCTTTTAAGAGCCCCTTTATTATAAGGCCAGGGCTTCCCAGGTGGTTCAGTGCTAAAGAATCCGCCTGCCAATGCAGGAGACTCGGGTTCAACCCCTGGGTCCGGAGAAGGAAATGGCAACCCACTCCAATATCCTTGCCTGGGAAATCCCTAGGACAGGCTCTGCCCGCCAGTGGGCTCCCTGCCCCCACCCCATGGTTCTCCTTCTCCTCCTAGACCAGCACTAACTCCCCAGGAGAGTTCCGGCCCGCGGCACCGAGAGCCAAACCTGAAGCTCTGGAGTCCATAGCTGGGGCTAGTCCTTTCACTAGGTCCAAATCTCTGTCACTCGGCGGCGGCCCCGCGATCCTCCCGGGGCTCAGGGAGCGGGGAGCGAGCCGGATGACACCGGGCATCCCCACTTCGCGCAGCGACGCCCAGCCGATCCGCAGGAGCCAGAGCAGGGCTGTCAAACCCGGACTGGCGTCCCAGCTGAGCGCAAGGCTGCTGCGGCTGTGGCTGCGGGAAGCGATGCTCTGTCCCCTCTTGCACTCCCAGGCACCTCAGAGGACCGGCCGCCGCCTCCTTCTGGAGACCGAACTCTAGGACCCAGCTCCCACGGAGACCACCAGGAAATGGCCACAGCCACACCTGAGATCTCGGTGCCCCGCCCTCCTCTAGAATCGCTTCTGGAGAGCTCACAGGGAACCAATCGGCCCTGAAACTCTGCGCCCAGTTCCAGGCCTCTCGCAGGAGGGCAGACGGACAGACACTTCGCACTCTTTCTCTGGCTCAGGGCGCAGTGCCCATGGCTGGCCTGCGCACCAGGAGTAGCTGAACCCACAAAGATCCAAGCAACACCCGGTTTCCAGCCCCACCTCCCGAGACCCGTCCTGAGCCTGCGCGAGAGGAAGGCCAGCACGCTGGGGTCCCCAGAACAAGCGTCGGAGGCGGGTCTGCGGAGGTGGGGGGTGGGGGCGTCGAACGAGCGGCGCCTGCGCACTGGCGGCTTGGGGACCTTGGGTGCTCTGCTCTGGCAATTGCAGGCTGGGCAAGTGCGCACCAGCTACCTGGACAGAGGTTTCACTCTGCCTCCCCCCCCCGAACCGGAAGCAACCTCCGTATTGGAAGTGCCTTTAGTAACTGGGCCCAACAGCCGGGTTTGGAGCAGTTCAACAGAAGCCACTGGAGTTTAAAAAAAGAAAAGAATCCTGGCCTAAACCCCGAACCTGACAAATAAGAATTTCTAGGAGGCTCTCCGGACATGTGAATTTCTTATAAAGTGTCCAGGAGATCCTGACAGTCTGTTCCCTACCTCTCCGTCTTTCTCCCACTGCTCCCCGCCCGCCTCCCCCCAAGTTTAAGTTCAGCGAAGGGTGAACTCAAAGAGAGGACTTTGGACTCCTTCCTCCTCTAGAAGCGAGGATCATTTCAGACCTAAAAGAGAGAAATGATCTGGATATTAAAACGATGGTTCTCTGGAGGCACTCTTCAACCAGAGAGGAGACTTTTGAGGACTGAGAGGTTGGTGAAGGAGTCCTCGGGCCTAGAAAAGAAGATAAAGACCTCAAAGGCCTCGGGCCTGGAAAAAGAAGATAAAGACCTCAAGGGCCCTTGCTGAACCACCTGACTTTACTGACAAAACTGAACTTTAAGTCCCACCCCGATACTCCGGGCAGATTGCGTCCTCCCGGGACCTCCCACCCCTGTTCATCCGCCTGACTAAATCTTCCCATATCGCTTCTGCAAAACCTCCCCTTAAATATGAAGCCTCCCTGATCCTGCACACGCTCAGCCTGGTCGTTAGACCGACTGCCGCCCCTCCTAGCCTGAATAACAGTAACCTGTCTCCGTTGAGGTCGTCTTCCTTTCTTCACTGCCTCGTCTCTAACTATACCCTACAGTTGGGACGAATAACCTATCGAGGCAAAAGGCCTTTTCTCCTTTCTTGCTCTTTTAATGTTTCACCTTTCTGCCAGCACTTCTGGTGACACAGATGGCCAAGATGGTTCAGCAAGTGCCAGCAAGTAAACCCTCCTCCGGAGCCAGAGTGAGGAAAGGGGGGCAGGGCTGCCTGGGAACCATGGCTGGCACACAAGTTTCTGTTCTCTTCTATGCTCTGGAACCAAAAAAGGTGAGGGTATGAACACATGAGAAGAGTGTCCTCTCAATGGTGGCTGACATAACCAGAAATTGAACTGCTTCAAATGCTACTGATTCTTTGCACTTTTATCCTCTAGTCTATACCTTTACTGGTCCTATACTCTCTGGCTAAGTTGCTTTTTTCTTAAAGAAAAGTAAAAAGGTAATTAATTTGGAAAACTCAGCAGTGGCCACAGGACTGGAAAAGGTCAGTTTTCATTCCAATCCAAAGAAAGGCAATGCCAAAAATGCTCAAACTACCACACAATTGCACTCATCTCACACGCTAGTAAAGTGATGCTTTAAATTCTCCAAGCCAGGCTTCAGCAATACATGAACCATGAACTTCCAGATGTTCAAGCTGGTTTTAGAAAAGGCAGAGGAACCAGAGATCAAATTGCCAAAATCCACTGAATCATTGAAAAAGCAAGAGTTCCAGAAAAACATCTATTTCTGCTTTATTGATTATGCCAAAGCCTTTGACTGTGTGGATCACAATAAACTGTGGAAAATTCTTCAAGAGATGGGAATACGAGACCACCTGACCTGCCTCTTGAGAAACCTGCATGCAGGTCAGGAAGGAACAGTTAGAACTGGACATGGAACAACAGACTGGTTCCAAATAGGGAAAGGAGTACATCCACATCAAGGCTGTATATTGTCACCCTGCTTATTTAACTTATATACAGAGTACATCATGAGAAACTGGGCTAGAGGAAGCACAAGCTGCAATCAAGATTGCCAGGAGAAATATCAATAACCTCAGATATGCAGATGATCCCATCCTTATGGCAGAAAGTGAAGAAGAACTAAAGAGCCTCTTGGTGAAAGAGGAAAGTGAAAAAGTTGGCTTAAAGCTCAGCATTCAGAAAACTAAGATCATGGCATCTGGTCCCATCACTTCATGGCAAATAGATGGGGAAACGCGGAAACAGTGGCTGACTTTATTTTTCTGGGCTCCAAAATCACTGCAGATGGTGATTGCAGCCATGAAATTAAAAGACGCTTACTCCTTGGATGGAAAGTTATGACCAACCTAGAGAGCATATTAAAAAGCAGAGACATTACTTTACCAACAAAGGTCCATCTAGTCAAGGCTATGGTTTTTCCAGTGGTTATGTATGGATGTGAGAGCTGGACTGTAAAGAAAGTTGAGCGCTGAAGTATTGATGCTTTTGAACTGTGGTGTTGGAGAAGACTCTTGAGAGTCCCTTGGACTGCAAAGAAATCCAACCAGTCAATCCTAAAGGAAATCAGTCCTGAATATTCATTGGAAGGACTGATGCTGAAGTTGAAACTTCAATACTTTGGCCACCTGATGCAAAGAACTGACTGATTGGAAAAGACCCTGATGCTGGGAAAGATTGAAAGCAGGAGGAGAAGGGGAGGAGAGGATGAGATGGTTGGATGGCATCACCGACTGGGTGGACATGAATCTGAGTAAACTCTGGGAGTTGATGATGGACAGGGAAGCCTGGTGTGCTGCAGTCCATGGGGTCGCAAAGAGTCGGACTTGACTGGGCTACTGAACTGAACTGAGGATCACTTGCAGATCTTTTCAAACTCTCACTCCTCAGAGGGAGTCCCGGGCATCAATACGTTAAAGCTCGTCAGGTGATTCCGGCATGCAGCTACGGTTGAGAATCCCTACGATGTCTCCAACGAGGGTCCTTCCAGTAGTATCATGGAAGGCAGGCTCCTGTATGCTCAAAATGTCGGAGTCCACACTGCTGCCCAGTCAAATACACATATATCCTGGGTTCTTCTTGTGAGGCTGTCACAGCTAACGCCATGACAGGCAGCCTAGATTAGGAGTGTGCCTAGTTTCCCGGGGTAACATAATTATCAGGCCTCCTGGAGCTAGCCAATCAACATGTGCCTAGCAAGAAAAAGGGAACCTATCAGGGGAAAGCTGAAAGCCCCATGTTGGGCCAACAAAAATTGCCTTGCAACTGTGTAACCAATCCACTTGCGCCAACTACCCGCTGTGTAACCAATCCGCTTGCGCCAACTACCTGCTGCTTTTTTTGACCTAATAAATACCTGAGAGAACTGGGGCTCGGGACCTTTTCGTCCTCACACCCTTGGTGAGGGTGGGAGGCCCTGGCTCGAGTCAGTAATAAATTCCCCTATTACAAGTTGCATTGTTTCGAGGAGTCTTCTTTCCCAACCGGGGACTCGGACTACGGGGAGAACATTTGGGGGCTCGTCCGGGATCCCTTGACCAGGGAAGAACGCTCTTTGGAACAAAGGGGAAAAAGGACAGGTAATAGCACCGGTGCTCAGGCAGGTCTGGAAAAGTGCAGTGTAAATCCGAGGCCCTGCTAAAAGGCAGGAAGGTATCTGGCGTGAGGGAAAGCTTTCCATGAGGGAACGGAT